GTACACATAAACCAATGTTAACAAACAAGTTAAGCGCTGCAACAACACGAAAGAGACACTTATAAAGAAATAATTTCGCTCCATTTATACCGTTCCACAGTTGAACTGAGCCAAATACACAGCAGCCAATGTTACACTTGAAAGTTTCAACACAAACAGAAAGAGAAGTGGAGGCTGGGTAGATGGAGAGGGGGAGTCAGAGAGGTGGGCAACAGACGGGTTGGCTGGCAGAGAGGTAGTGGCCATGGCACACAGGAGAGCAGCAGTGCCAACAGAGCTTGTCTCACAACACCATCTGTGAAGAGCAGCACTGCGATCTCCCTGCAGCCTGCATACACACAGCACGCCAGCTGCCCTCTGCAACTCTCCTCTCTCATTTTCTTTCGTTCAGTCTGCTTTCTTCACTTTCATGCTCCTGCACTGTGATTTTACTGTGTCTATAGCAGATCTCTGTTCTTTCTGAACAGGGCTCAAAAATAAGGATGTGACAGACATTAAGGCCAGTTGATGTACCGTCAGGCCATTGCTGTATTGGATCTACATCTTGCATTTCTTGGGCTTGTATTTCAGATTTCATGTGTTGAGAACATAGACGCTTGATTTTCAGTGATAAATGAAATTGTGTTGATTTAAATCAGTGACCAAGGTAAAGTTATAAGGCTAGCATAGGGAATGACTTACTGAAAAGGGGTTCTAAAAAGCACAAAATTCCTGTTATTTTACAGGATTGGTAAATTAAAAACATTACGCTCCGAAAACTTGAACTACTGACCTGAACAGGCAAGTAGGAAAAAAAAACAACAACGTATTATTGAGTCTTGTGTTATACCCCCTCTATCTTCTTATGTTTATTGTTTACCAACATCCCCTTGCACAAGCAGACAAAATGAATCTAAGCTAATCAAAAAAGGCATCAACTGCATGTAAAAAAAAAAAATAACTCTTTCTCAAAAACCTCATCAATAAATGTATTAGTTGTAACAAAAAAATAGAAAAAACCCAGCATCAATTGAATAAGGTTGTTTCTTCCACATCCATTCAAAAAGGCAATAACAGCATAGCCTAATTCCATATTGTACTAAATTAATTTGACATTTTACATTCAAAAATGCACATGCACAATTTCCCACCGACATTAAAAACAAAGCTTCCCAATCTCACCTGGCATCATAGATGATGGAGACAATCTCATCAAATAATCCAGGGTATGTTTTTCTATTTCTACCAGGTTCCCTGTAACCAAAGTCTCTTTGCGTCTTTCTGCGCTCTGCGAGGGGCACGGTGGTTGGCACGGGACCCCAAGGCCGGTACACCAGGTCCAAACGGGAGAGTGGAGCAGCCTGTCCTCCTGCTTTCAGAGCCTTAGAGGGACAGATGGAGACCTGCCTCTCGTTCTGCTCTGCTTCCAGGGATGCCCTGCACTAACAAGGGCACGTGTGGCCGCTGGGGCCTCGCGCTATCCTGCACACGCTCGCTCCCTGAGCCCGCAGACTGAGACAATGACAGCTAGAGCACACGCAAATGCGAGCACACGCGCCTCCTCCGCTGACCCCTCCCCAACTGATGTGCGGCAGCCACACAAAACACAGCACGCGTATGAGAGAGCGGGGGGGGGGCGCAGAGTAGATAGATAGATAGATAGATAGATAGATAGATAGATAGATAGATAGATAGATAGATAGATAGATAGATAGATAGATAGATAGATAGATAGATAGATAGACAGATAGACAGATAGATAGAAATACAAAAGAAAGACAGAAAGATTGACTTGTGCTGTGAATCTGCCCTCTCATATGCTCTGAATTAAGTGCAGTCTTGCAAAAACAACCCTCTTCTGGTCAACTGGCCAATCTGAGGTTTTTTTTTTTTTTTTACATCTGCTTCTGCTTAACCAGATTCACTTCATACTTTACTACTACATTCGTAATCAGATGAAAAATATAGATCTGGGGTGAACAGCTCATGTTTGTGAAGTCCAGATAATCGGATTCACTTATCAACCTTCTGATTCCTCCGTCTAAAAATGTACTGTGTTGATGCTTAAATACCAGCATACTGCCTGCATCAATCAGCCCCATCCACCTTTTTTTTTTTTTTTGTTGCAAGCAGCGGCAGGAACAACCTCATTAGAACCAAGAAAAATCAATTTGGAGAGTCCAAACAAAGGCATGCATCTACCTCTACTGCTGTGTTTTAAGTCTCTAGAGTGGCGCTCTTCCCCCTCTCCCCCCACCCCTCGCACACGTTCTTTTTCTGCTCTCTTTCTCAGATTTGCCGTTTCTCTCTCTCCCCTCCCAGACTGCCATCACTGCATGTGATTAACATATGTCTGGGCTTTCAGCCCCTGTCAGCTTGAAGGCATTTCTCCCAGCCGCCTTAAACAGCAGATGAGCTCCATGTGGAGGAAACACTCAGGAGAGGGAGAGAGAGAAAGGATGAGACAGATTTGTTCTTCTTGCACGTTTAGTGGCGGATCTACTCTTTTTGCACCTCCAACCTGTCTCTCCACTATTGGGGTTGGACAGATTGTGACTTTGACATAAACAGCACTGGCGAAGAAACGTTTCAATCCCAATAGCAGCGAGATTCGCCAACTGTCTGTCTCCTACAGTATGGATAATTTTACCTTAAATGTTCAAATCACCATCAAAAACAGAGAATGACTTTTCTGAAAATTCTTACTGGAATAGCGTCAAACAATGTTGATTTGTTTTAATTGCCAGCGTTTGCATTCACTTGTAAATTGCGAACATTACCAAATCTCCAACAAAGCCAGAATTCCTTATTTCCTGCAGCAATAAAGTAAAATACAGTGCAGTAATCATAAAAGGTCAATTTTGCAACAATTACTGCTATACTGACAGAAGCGCATTCAAACTTCATGATTGGCGCCTACACCAGCTCTTTCAGAAAATGCAAACACAATCGAACAATTCTTGGATGATCACCTACAATGAGGTGAAAAACAATACTGCTGCATTTATATCCTTCATTGAGGTGTGTGAGAAAATGTCCTTTCGACTTCCTTTTTGTCAGCACTTACACACCTTCATGTCGACTCAGCACAAAGCCAGATTCATCAATTCCCCTAGCCTCCGAATGAGTACATTTCTCAATATCCGCTACATCTATGATTTTATTGAGAGGCAACATAGCAAACTAAATATTCAGGCTTTTCTGTGGGTCCCTTCCATCCCCTCCCTCCCCTTAAACCAATCTGACAGCCCTTTCAGAGCCGGTAGGAAGAGAATATATTTCCAGCCCAGCTTGATAAAGGCCTGCTTTAAGAGTTGGCTGCATTAACAGACTGAAAGAGCAGGAACGAGACAATGCGAAATGAGGAAACTGTGAGCTGAAGGGATTCCACTTCTTTCGTGCTCCAACCAATAGCGCCAGTTTTTTTTTTTTTTTTTTGTGACTGGCTTAAGAGCTTCTTAAAAAGCCAGTGAGCATACAGATACCTCTACACCAGGGTCTTATCCTGGGAAGGTCCCAACAGGGAAAGTGGAAAGGAGTTGCACATATGCAGTGTTGAGACCCTTGACCTGTGCTGCAGGCCAGGTTACATAGGGGGAACATGTTTTTAGCGGTCTGCTGATGCTGAAAAAAAAGGCCCAAATTAGCTTCTTTTTCTTATAGTCTACATCTCGACTCAACCCAAAGGACTTTATCTTCCACACAGCTGGAAGTCATTAGAGCTCTCTTATGATCTGTTCATACGCAGGGTGGCTGAGCTGGAGAGGTTGCAATGAGACAGAAAAAGAGAAAGCAGAGGAAGGGAGGAACTGTGGAAAAGAAAGGCGATCATTAGATCAGCCAGTATGATGTTGTCATCCCCAAAGGGCATGGCCGAGGGTACGAATCACAGTGTAAATGTTTCCCAGCCAACACAGACAGGCAGAAACCACATGAAGGGCTCCTTAATACAAGAATAAAAAAAGTACTTGGCTAACATCATATAGAAACTGCGTGATAGGAATGCTTGCGTTTCATCTCATGCAGATCTACAACTATGAAAACTCAAACAGGTAGGAAATGCCTCTGTTGATCTTGTGCTGTCAATTCACACTTATTATGAATGGAGTAGCAATCCCATAAAGAGCAACACACAGAGTTCAGTTACCCAAATGTAATTACCAAAACATTATTTTTAGTTTCGGTTTCCAGCAAAATGGATTTTCATTAAAAAAATTATACAGTATTTCTGTGCATCATCTGGTTTCTGTATCTATCTTGTGTGAATGAAGGCACCATAGCTATCTTAGCCACCTTAGTGTTGAGGGTCTGCATGAAAAATAAGAGAAAAAGCCAGAGCAAGCATGTGTGTGTGTGTGTTTGTGTGTGTGCGTGTCCAGTCCTGAGCCATCTGTCCGTTCTGCTGTCCCTGAGTCCCAGAGCAAGCTGTGGCTGAGGGCCGGGGCCAGATCTGTGTTCCACAGCTATTCATGATTTTCCCACTCCACCTTTTCAGCATGACTGTGGCACACAGTGCACGCAAATCAAGTCGAACAACTGTCACCAGCTCCAAAGAGACCCTCCCTCCTCGCCCCCTGTGACGGCAGAATAATCCCGCTCTCCGGTCTTTATAATGTGTGCAAGTATCATCTGAATGTGAGGCTCACACTAGAAAGCGAAACAGGCAGTTGTGCTGATTCATGAAAAGCATGTGGTCAGTAAAAAATCAGCCCCCTCATTCAGACCCGAGCCAGACTCTGCTCTCAGCCCAGGCAACTGTCTGACAGCCGAGTCGCTCTTTCTCATCGCGGAAAACAGGCCATGTTTCATTAGGCGATGAATTAAAATTCTTTTGTCTGTATAATAAGAGCGAAAGGGAAGTGCCTACATGGCTCATCCTTTAGTGTTTGCACACTAGGTGGTGCTATTAATACATACTTCAAAAATTACATTTTCACAGATACACACACTCACCGACACATACAGTGCGACTGATTCATTGTGTCTGGTTCTGCATTAAGGTAACAAACAAAAACACCTACGTCTCGTTTCTAAATCCTGATCACGCGCCGTTCGGTTTTCAGAGGCGAGTCCAGATGCGCACTGACAGATTCACCAGCAAACGCTGAAGAGAAAGAAAAAAAGATGTTTCTGCTTTAGAACGTTTTTGTCAACTTTTTCGAAAGTGAGGATACCAGCTGTCCCAGCTTATGTTTAGATTATGTAATGGAAACAGCAACATGCAGCCTCTTCAGTTCTGATATTACTTTCAGTATCCTCATGAGTGACTAACACAAAAAGAGAGAGAGCAAAACAAAACAAGAGGAATCTGTCAGTGGGACCGGAGCTGCCTGAGTGAGAGATCGAGCCCAACAGGAACCAGTCATTCCTGGCCCAGCCCTTTTCCACACAATGGCCTTTAGAATGGAAGGAACCATGGGCCCGGCAGAGATAGCCTACTGTCAGGAACCAGGACGGACAGGGCCCGCCCGGCCTTCCCGGGCAGGATGTCGCTGCTGCTGGACTGCACGGCCCCGATATCCTACGTTCACACATTCTTCTCCCACTGGCAGGCCGGGATGTTTTGCTCCTCAGGTAATTAGAGTCGGAAGCCCTGAGGGCAGGCGAGCTCATGACCTGACCTCCACTGTCCTGATCGAGAGGTTGGTCCCACTATCAGGCTTCCGCAAGCCACGGCTGGGGCATCAACAAGCTGCCGCTAAATGCCGCACTCTTGCCCTTCTTGAGGAACACCCATCAGGCAAATGAATGGCTACCAAACAGATTCCCACAAAAATCGAACAAGTCCCTGAAACTTGTCAGAATTTCCTCAAACTCCAGTCTTTCCCTTGAAAAGGGGCTGAGGTATGGATTTCATATATGCCCACACTCTATACTCACAGATTATGATAAAACACTCTCCAGCATCCTCATGAAATATTCACTAGCCCCAGCGAGGTGAGAACAGATAGCGCTGTGTTTCTGAGGCACACTGACCCGGGGTGTCCCGGGCAGACCCCGAGCATCCCTCTGGTCAGCACTGCTCCACTTCAGCACACCTCCGACCACATATTACCGCCAGCAGCCAGCTACAGTTGCCATGACAACGGGCACTGCAGATATGTTGTGAGGTGAGCAGCCTGTCAACCTGCAGAGGGGCTTTTGTGTGTGTAGTACATGCTAAATAAAGTCACCGCCACTATTACAAAGAGAAAAAAAGAGAAAGAAACAGATACAGAGAGACTCGTAGCTATTATTAAAATATATGGTGATCAGCGCAGCAGTGGATGAGTAATGCTCGACCTCGCTTGAATCAAAACAGTATCATGTCACAGCCGTAAAACTAAATCAGTCCTCTGGCATATGTGTGCTATTAACATCACTTGTCCATTGCACAGAAAGCCTCTTAGCTACTAAATCAAACCCACAGATGGCATGAAGTCTGAGACTGGAGAGGAGAAGCATTGAAGGAAAGAGGGGGCTAAACAACTGCTACACTCACTTCAGGGTTTACATTCCTTATCAGCCAAGAAAAGACCAGGGACACCACCTGAAAAAAGAAATGCAAATAAATTGCTTTGTTAAAAAAAAGGAAATTGAGTTTTTCTCGTTCCCAAAGAACATCAGCAATTTACAGTCATTTTTTTTTTTCTTATTGTAATATTTCCTACCAAATCTACAGAATATTTTGACCTTTTAAATAGTATTGCAGATCTAAAAAAAAAAAAATCCCTAATTTTGTGTATATCTTTTACGTTATTTATACTTATTTCATTAATATAGCCTACATTTCCAGTGATTCTGGTATTTGGCAAATGGGGTCCTTTGGCAAAGTAATCCATGACCTGAAGTCATTTTTCAGTCTGGAGCTCCGCACAGCCAAAAATGCATAATAGTAGGGCAGTAAACACGGACACGTGATCCGTGAATTGTGGGTAGTGAACACATTTCCACATCAAGACAACTACCGTGTGTGCTATTAAAAGTGTTTTAGAAAAAAACAACGACAAAAACAACTCAAACAATCCCGTCATTTCATCTTCTGCAGAAACTCAAGAGATCAAGATGCAGAGAGCAGATCAATAACACTGTCAAGCACTCCAAAGTCAGAGTCTGAAATGAACGCAATGCACAGAGGCAGACGTCTTTGAAAAAGTAAGATCTGCGAGAATGAGGACAGCGGGAGTTAATCGAACTCTATAGCCTCGAGCTACATGCTTCTACTACAAATGCAACATTTCTACCACAAATGTTCCGTTCTGCTGAAATATTGTGCATTGGTTTGCACCATCAATCTGTAAAGTTATGTTGCTCTGTATAACGTATAACATTACAGCCTGGATTATCCATGAATGAGACGATCTGATTATAACATTATTCCACAGCCTATCATAAATAAAGCTAGTGATTATTGGCGAACAAGCACAGCGTGCGAGAGTGAATCAAATCTGCACATTAAAACACGATACTGTGATGATTCTGGATGTGCCGCTGCACAGACCATCTCCTCCTGTTTCAGTCCTCTCTCACTTCTTCTATAGTTTGTGGCATCTGGCACAGTGACTCTACGTCTGTTCAATCGCTCTGAGCTCCGCTCTCAATCTTCCCTCTCTCTCTGGTCTCTTACAGGGTTGCCTGATCTCCTCCTCCCTCTGGTTTCCTCTGCCACGTCTGGTCAGACTGGTCCTGCTCGGGGCTGATATAGTCCTGGCCCGCAGCCCTTTCCATCAATCTCCAGCCTGTGGTATCTTTGAACACACAGAAAGGCCCCACCCTGAAACTTTCTTCCATCCAGTCCTCCTCTCTTTATCTTCTGCTCTGTGCCATCCGATTCCGTCAGATCAATGCTGTATCCAATAATCGTGTAGATCTGGACTTTAAGTCGGATCTGAATCCGTTTTACTGTCCACTCTTCATCGACTCCCATAATCCACTCTTTGGCTTAACTCCATTTTCATCTCATCATGTCTGTGATAGCATATTCCCAGAGGCCCTCTGGTTGTGTTAGAAGAAAAAAAAAATCACTTTCCTTTTCATGGTTCCAGATAACCCGCCACCCTCCCTTCACGATCGACACCCACCTCCGTCACCCCCTTCCCCCCACCCAGAATGTGGATAAATAATTGAAAACAAGTGCAGGGATTTGCCAGACTGTAAGCTTCCTTTCATATGTTAATTACTCACAAACAGTTGTTTTGAATAAAGGCATTCTCCTCTCTCTCCTCCTCTTCGGGCTCCAAATCCTGTGTAAAAGAAAAACGTGGTGCCAATCGCATATAAATCCAACTTTCTGTTTATAGCATTAATCCATTTTGTGCGCGCACACACATACGAACACAAACACACACACATTCAGGCGCCTCCAGCGCTCAGCTGATGCAAGGGGCCTTTTAAGAGAATCGTGTTTGGCGCGGAGCGACAGGGAGCACCAGACGGGAGCCAAAAGTGAGATCTGAATAAGCATGCTGTGAGTGTGCACGCTCTCTAATCAGCCGCCGACTTTTCCGTTTACACTGTCATTAAAAGCAATAGCCTGAGGCCGTGCATGACAAATCATCTCTTTGGCAATAAGTGCTCGGGGAGGCTGCGTCCAGAAGGACCCCCTTGTCAGTGACGAGCGCTGTCTTTCACGCTTCCATGCTGTGCACAGTGATGGTGGCGAATCACCCCAGGATATATCTGGATACTGGATTAAAAATAGGAACGGATCACGATTGTTTGAATAGTTGTCTAAGAACTGACTAGATGATTTGGGAGGTAATCTTTGTCTATTAGTTATTTAAGCAGTCGTACTGTACTTTCATTTCATAATTGTTTGATAAACTGTGTTCCATCGGGTCAAGTGAACCTAAAACCAGCCTAATTGTAAAGGGATGGATCACCTCCCCAAAAAAAAGAAAAAAAAGAAAAGAAAATTCTGTCAATTACTCACACTCATGTCCTTCCAAACCTCTATGACTTTGTTTTTTGGAACACACAAAAAATATTTAGAACAATTTGTCAATATAAAAATTACATGAAAAACGTAAACTTGCAAAAGTCAAAAAACTAAAACTAAAATAAAAAACGAATTAAAGCAATATAGAAATATAAAATGACAAAAGCACATGAAATTAACACATAACTAAATGAATAATGTTAATAAATACTATAACAATATCACATAAATAACACGTTAAAAACTTTTAAAATAGCATAGAGGTTTGAAATTACATGAGGGTAAATTTTCAAAATTATCCATTTTTTTGGGTGAACCCTCTCTTTAAAACCAATTACTCAACTAGTCAGTCAGACAATCCTCCGACAAGTCAACTTAAAATATATATCGTTTTGCACATCGCTAACAAAAATACCGCAGGGGTCGCTGTAGTTAGCTCTACAAAGGTGAGCGTTCAAAACCATAACTTGGCCAACGCAAAATCTAGATGTGATTAGGTCTCTGGAGGACGAAAATGTTCGGAATTAAGTGTCTCAGGGTGAATGAAACCATGACGAGCTCCTAATCCTTCTATTGAGATGGCACGCTACACTGCGCACAACTGCAACACAATCTAACCATCAATGTGGCATCAACCACACATAACACTGTGCCATATCGTACACACAAACCCCCTTCATATGAGTGTAGCAGCATCTCCCATATGGTGCCGGGAGGAGGAGGAGGAGGGGCTGGAGGGAGACGGTGAGAGAGACAGAAAGCAAGAACAGTTAAAATTTGCAAACATAAAATTACAGCTGCACAATTAGATTTGATCCCAGTGCAGCTGTGAAATATTATGTGGACAATTTAATACTGCCAAAGAGGAAATAGCAGATTAAGATCATATCTTTGCATCGCTGCCAAAGTGTGCGCTTGTTTCTGAGCCCATGCTTCGGAGGAGGGGATAGGTTCGTTACAGAGACGCATCTCCTTTCACGTCTCTCTCGCTTTCTCTGTTGGTAAGGTGCAGACAGGCTTGCGCATTCACGTTTCACTCAGGCAACCCTAAATGCCCTGCGAGCCAGTCATTTGTCCAGTCACCGGGGGAACATTAAAACCAGACCAAAATAATTCTTTACAGTTACGGAAAAAGTGAAGAGAAGAAGAAAAACAGTCACATGCACACATCTTTCCCCCGAAAAGTT